CTCCATACTCTGCCATCCCTGTCACTGTCCACTGTGTTGTCAGCACCCTCATCCATTCCCCCTGTCTGCCTGTTGACTTCTTTTAAGAGCCCAGTTTCATTCCCATTCCTTCATGCCACAGGGACTCACCTATGTTCCGGTGTTCCCTCTCCCCAAGATGTGACTTTTCCTTGTTTTGCTTAGTTCTTGTTTAATCCTTTGGAACGCATCTCTGGCATTACTTCTTTCCTTGTGACTTGGTCACATTTGCACTTTTCCATTCATATATATGATTAAAAATTAATGACTGTTTCCCTGAGTTTGTCCTTTGAGAACTGAACACATGTTGATTTTTTTCATTCTTGTATCATGTTGTCTAATATTATGTTTAAAAAAGTCATTAAGAACATATTTTTTGATAGAAAGATTAATGTTTTCCTTTCTTTGCAGGCATGCCATTAATAATGACCTTCTAGAGGAACCAGAGTAAATGATATTTGAATTTTAAGTGGTTCTCTGTTGAGGATGGAGGCACAGAAATCAGAAAGCATGGGTAATTTTCAATTTAAAATATTTATAGAATTATAAAATATATACTACACAGATTTAACAGAATTAAAATCACTGTACTACTGTTTTTATTTCTCAGGTAATTGCTGAGCCTCCACAAAAAGGACTGACTAAAAATAACCCATTTTCTTTTTCTTTTTTAGAAAAATGTAGAGTGATCTTAGAGAAAATATCGCAGTTCATTTTGAGCAAAATGCCAAAGTCTGAGTAAGTCTTTCTGTAGTAATCAAGAGCTGTGAAATCATATATAACATTCCATGTCTCCTTCTGTAGCGGTGTGGCCTTATATTGTTGTATCCATCTTGTTTGTGTCTGTCTCTGTGTGCACATATATACTCAACTATAGGTATATATTGTTAGTATAGGTAGCATATGAAATTATATACAACTCTGGACTCAGTAAATTGGGTTATAAAGAAATAGTAGCAGTGTTACTGTTTTGGCATTATGTTGATTTTGTCTTCACTCATTTTTTTTGTAGCTATTCCAGTTTATTCAATGATTTTGTTGAATCTGAGTTCTTTCTGATTGATGGCGATTCCTTACTTGTAACGTGTGTTTGTGAGAAGTCATTGCAGCCGGGACAGAGTCTGCATTTCTTCTACGTGGTTGAGCGCTATCTCTTGGACATTATTAATAAAGGAGGGCAATTTGCCATCATTTTCTTTCAGGTAACAGAGAGCAGATGAGTTTTTTAATTCTGAGATCCAAGCCTAACATTTGTTTAATTAATTAATTAATTAAATAGAGATAGGGTCTCATGTAGTTGAGGCTGACCTTTAACTCATAATACTCTTGCCTCTACCTCCCAAGAGAAAGGATTACAATGGTGCACTATCACACCTGGCTATAAATAAAATTAATTAAGTTATTTTATAAAGGCTTTTTTCTCTGACTACAAAGTAAAATATATCTTAAAAACTTCAGAAAATGAACTGGAGGCTAAGTCAGAAATATCCAAGTTTGAGGCCTGCCTTAACCTCAAACACAGTAAGTTAGTGGGTAGCTTAGGTAACCGGGATTGACCCTGTGTTAAAAGAAAAATAAAAGTTTATAAGTGTTCAGTGGAGGAGTCCTTGTCTAGTATATGCAAGGTTCTTGGTTCAATCTCTGGTATAACATAAAACAAAACAAAACAAAAAACCCAAACAAGAACAAAATAAAACACACAAAAATATCAGAAAATTTAAAGGGAAGAAGAGAAAAAAGTTATCTTGCTTCTCACTATTCAGGATTAACCACACTTGAGATTATTTTGTACTGTGTAATGTTAGAAATTTATTGGGCATTACAGAATCATGAAAGTGGGTGAAAATTCCCAACAGTAGTGCCCCTGAATGCAACTCCAATCCTCTGACTCAGAAACTGTTTTCTGTCTTTAAAGCTCAGCAACTGACTTATTTGCGTACAGTGTCAGTTGTTTCTGGGCCCTCCCAAACTCCTCACGAGCCCTCCTTTGGTGTCGTGGGCTCTAGCATAAATACCTCTGAGAGAAGACCATATTTTCTTTTCTTTTTCTTATTATGCAGCTAATTAATACAGTTTCAACCATTTCAAATGCAAGTAGCTGCTACTGCATCCTCCTGTTCCTATCCTAAGGGTAACTAAAGCACAACTCAGGGATTCTGCCGTGGGTCTGTCAATCATTTTGCAGCTCATGTTAGTGTATATTTCTAAACTTTATTTGCCAGCAGTGTTTTGAATAAGGAACCAGGGTTCTTGTCTAATGTTTACAGTCCAGTTGTACAAATTTTGGCCTGCTTAAGGATTGTCACTCTAGCCTGGATTCATTGTCTAGAAAAAACTGGTTTCTACTCCCCATTCCAGATCATTTATACTCACAACTTAACATGTACATAGTTTTTCTTTTCTGTCTCTTTTCTTTTTGAAGTTAGATTGGAGAGAATATTTAGAAAGCAGGATGGGAAGTATGATGAACTCTGAATACTACTGGCTTGCTTACAGGGGAGACATGCTTTTAAGTCCAAATTGTCATTTATAACATAAATTTGTAATATAGGAAAATTTTAGGGCTAAAATTTGCTGATTATAAGACAGAACACAACTTGCAGAATTATATTTCTTTTATGCCTATGTTAACTGATCAATGAAATACTGAATGATACTTTGGAAATAACCTACTTTACCCCTCCTCCGTATAGGATGCTGAGTGTGCGTACTTCAACTTCCCAGAACTTCTTCTTCTGAGATCTGCTTTGATTTTGCATCTCCAGAAGAACACCACCATTGATGTTTGGACTAAATTTTCAGGATGCTTGTCAGATGAATGGAGTGTTTTCTTGGAAGAGAACTGCCCGTATTTCCTGATAGTTGCAGATGAAGGCCTGAACCAATGGCAAACATACCTTTTCAACTTTCTAGTCATTCAGTCTTGGGCAGTGAAAGTCAATGCCGTGCTTTTTTCCGGGCAAGAATCGGACATTCTTCGTCTCTATGCATACTTTATGCAAAGCACATTCGAAAAACAGATGTTTTTCAAGAAGGTAATTTATATATTTAAATATTTTTGTATTCTAGAATTTTATAACATTTTCTAAAGTACTTGATTCAGGGAGCTGGAGGGATGGCTTACTGGTTAAGAGAGCCTACTGTTCTTGCAGAGGACCCGGGTTTAGCTCTTGGCATCCACATCTGGCTGCTCACAGTTGCCTATAACTTTATCTTTGGGGAATCCAATGCCTTTGGCCTCTGTGGGCACATGCACTTACATGCACAGACCCACACAGACTCATATATGTAATTAAAAATAAATTAAATCTTTCTTTAGAGACACGGTCTGTTTCTGTAGTCCTGGCTGAACTGGAGGTTGCTATGTAAGTCAGACTAGGCTCGAGCTCATGGGGCTCCATCTATCTCTGCCTTCCTGGCCATACAAAATTTTAGAAAAAAAGATTTAGCACCATTTTTAACTACAATATGAGAACTATTATAGTTTTAGTAGAAAGATATGAATAATAATAGTAACGATGAATTATTAGCAATAGTACAAATATAGTAATTTATTTAGAAGTTCTTTTCATAAAATAATCCTCAATGCTTTTTATAAATTATTTGAGTTAACATTCATAAAGTTAATGGGCCTCAGAAAGACATGAAATTAGAGGCAAAAGTCATGTATGTCTCTGTGGCCAAATTTTACTAGTGAGATGATAGCATGGTTGCCTTTAACGGGAACATATTGGAACAGTTTCATGAAGAAGAAGAAGAACAGAGATGTATTTATTTCTTTGTTTCAACTCATTAGCTTTCCCAAATCTTCACAATTCTAATTCCTTGAGCGTATCATTTTGCTATATTGGTATATTTGAGAACTACTTTATTGAACTTTTCTGAGTAAGGTAGGCATACTGACTTTACAAATAAATTCAGTTTGTTTATAGCTCACTACTTGCAGTGAATTCTCTATATGAAATCATTCCATTCTTCATCAAAGCGCTCTCTGAGCTCATTAACATTTGTTGCTCTTTGAGAATCCTGTTACACCCCTCACATATTTTGATGTATGCAGATGAACCTTGTGAAATGAAAAATAGCTTATTTTGCTGTGAATAGGAGTTGTATCATTAAACTATTTCTAACTCTGCCAATTGTGAGTAGAAACAGTTCTGAGCTTCATTTTTATATTGGGGGATATACACTTTGAGTTTTTTGTTTTTGTTTTTTAGGCAGGGTCTCACTATGTAGCCCCGACCCTCATGGAGCTCTCTATATAGACAGACTGGACCATTTTTGAGTTCAAAGAGCTCTGACAGCCTCTACCTTCCGAGTGTAGGAGCTAAAATCTTCTGTCCCCAAGCCTGTTGACAGCACTTTCTGAATCTGGGGTTTAAAAAAATATTTTATTTATTATTTTTATTTTATGTGTATGAGTATATTGCTTGCATGTATGTTAGTGCACTTGTGTTGTGCAATACCTGCAGAGGACAGAAGATCCCCTGAAACTGGAGTTATGAATGTTGTAAGCAACCATGTGGGTGCTGGGAAACTATCCTGAGTCCTCTGCAAGAGCAACCAGTGATCTTAATCGCCGAGACATCTCTGCAACCCCTGAATCTGAGTTTTAAGAATGTCCTATGAACATTCCGCCCAATCTCTCCTTAAGAATATTTTTAAAATGTTTTATTTTAATTACATATATCCTTATGTGTCTCTGTATGGGTATGTGCTCACGAATACAGGTGCCTACAGAGACCAGAAGAGAGCATCATCGAATATCCTGGAGCTGGCGTTACAGGTGGTTGCCTGTAAGCTGCCTAACATGGGTGCTGGGAACTAAACTCAGGTCCTCTGCAAGAGCAGTACATGCTCTTAAAAATGGAACCATCTCTCTAGTGTCAGGAATAATTTTTTAATGGAGGATCTTATTTCTGATAAAATAGCATGCCAAAATTTATTAAAATTCACCTTAAAGAGGTTATTGCATTAACTAATTTAAGGGGTCCCTGACACTGAATTAAAACACAATGAAATAGAACTTATCAATCCATTTATAGACTAGTGGAAGTATAACTGATGCTGGTGATGACCATTGCTAGTGTGATAGGTACCTGTGGGAAGGTACCTTATGTGTATGATTGAAATTTGTCACAGTAAAATATTGTGTTGAAGGTGCATGATGCATTTTTGGGAGTGGTTACACATATTCTGAAATTACATTTTAATCATGGGTAAACAAACAGGTAGCTTTACTGAAAGTCATTGAATTGTACATTCAAAGTGAGTGAAGTTTATATCATTTTATATTTTTATGGAGCTCTTACAAAACCCCCAAACACATTGTATTTCCAACAAAGATAAACTAGTACTGTCTGGTAGGCTTCAAGCATTGTTGTCCATCTGCATTAGATTAATGCAATTTAAAACTTAGAATTATTGTTACATAAATATATCCTGGTGAATGCCTGAGTTTGGAAGAACTTTGTTTTTCAAAATGTTTTATTATTTGTATTTCATGTGTATGAGTGTATTGCCTTCGTGTATCTAAGTACACTCATGTTGTGCATTGTGTGCAGAGGTCAGAAGAGGGCATCAGATTCCCCTGGAACAGGAGTTAGCTGCCATGTAGGTGCTGGGACTTGAACCCATGTCCTCTGCAAGAGCAGCCAGTGCTCTTAACTGCTGAGGCATCTCTCCAGCCCCAATAATTTTATTTTTGACAATTTATCTAGGTTTCCTTTATTTTCTAGATGGAAAAGACTATCACACATGTTTACAAAATCCTGCTTCAAGAATTGGGGAAACATAAAGACCTTGCATTGGCTCCTATGTTTGGAGAATTAAAAGTCAACAACATGATGACAGAGGTAATGGAACTTGAAAATCACTTTTGATTTGAATTACTTTTTAAGTCTGTGTGTGTGTGTGTCAGTGTGTGTGTGTGTGTGTGTATACATCATGTGTATGGAGGTTGCAGTGTAACCTCAGGTATTAGTCCTGTCTTTCCAACTTGACTGACACCAGCAAGCATCCTGGGTATCTCCTGTCCCCACTTCTGTTCTTGCTGGAGTAGTGTTGGGATTATAGAGAGGTGCAACTGTGTACAGCTTTACTTGAATCTGAACTCAGTACTCATGCTTGCCCGGCAAGTACTTTGCCCACAGAGCTGTCTCCCCAGCCCCTAATTTTATAATTACAGAAATTATAAAATTAGTCTAAATTAGAAAAAAATTAGAAATTATCAAAATTAGTCTAAAGTTTCTACAACTTCTCTTCATGCTGAAGGTGTGAATTTCTTAGGAAATCATGATGAATGTATCAAAACCAGTAACTCAGAATTGACACGATACTACGCACCTAGCTTCAGATCGTATTGAATTTTACATTTTCTCATTGATGTATTTTTTCTGTTTCAGGATAATATTCAGGGCACCACATCCATTTGATTATATCCCTGTAATACCCTGCTGTCTGTAATAGTTCTTAGTCTTTGTCTTTCATGACACTAACATTTTTGAAGGGTATTTATCAGTTTGCCTTGTGACAAAGGGTTCATGATTTGGATTCTGGGGGCAGGGTCTGTCTGAATGAACACTTTCTTTTTAACATTTCTTGAAGAATTTATTACTTTTATTTGTGCGTGTGTGTGTAGTTTATGTGTACCGTGTGTGCAGGTGCTGTTGGAGGCCAGAAGGCATCCGATCCCCTGAACTTGGAGTTACAGGTGGTTATGAGCCACCTGATGTCTGTGTGTGCTGGGAACTGATCTTTGGTCTATTGAAAAAGCAGCACGTGCTCTTAAACGTTGAGCCATCTCTCCAGCTCTTCTTAATCTTTTGCTGACGAATTTTGCATCCATCTGTGGATCTGGTCCACAGGGTCATGACTGATGGTTTTGGCTGGTGTCACTTTGCATTTCAGTAGCTTTCATTTATTAATTGGAATTCTACTGTAAAGGAGAACTGCCATAATTCTGACATTTACTTTTTCATTTGGCTAGTTACTTATGTAGTGTGCACTAATGGGATTTGCTTCAAATCACAAGATAAAACCCAGCATTATAAGTATGGTGGTGCTTAGATTACTCCAGGTTCCAGCATTAGAAGCTCTTTTGGGCTAGTACCTGTGCTCTCCAACAAGCCCTCATCTTTTTGAGCATTCTTCTTTCTTTTTGAATGTCCAAAATATTCTAGCTTCATATTTTTCCTGTCATTAAAATTAATCACTTCTCTAAGGAGTTTTAGTTGTGTCTATTGGGGAACAATATTCAGAATCCCAGATTTCTCTCTCTGTCTCTCTTTGATACACACACACACACACACACACACACACACACACACACACACGGATATAGCCCTGTACATGTGAGTCTCTTAGTTGTCTGTCTCCACCTCTAAATGTCTATCTGCTTGCTCATCTACACTAAACCATAGGCTTCATACTGATACCTTTCACTCCGACTCAAATACACAGATTCATTTTACCTCCTGCCTTTCTCATTTGTTCTCCCGTTTTGAGAAATTCAGCTTTCATTATCTACGCTATGTTTACTAATTTGTTCAATTCTAGTCTATACCTGAGGTAGATTTAGAATTGCTAACCATACCTATCCTGTGAGAGATGTATTCACTAAGATTATGGAACTTGAGTACAGTTCTCTGTAGTTCTTGTGTATGCCATTCCTTTGTCTTTCAAAGTTATTCAGGTTAGTTTTTCCTCTTAGAATGCTTAGCTGGGTGTGCTAGCTCACTCCTTTGATACCAGGATCAAAAGAAGGCAGAGGCAGGCGGAGCTCCATGAGTTTTGTTGGTCTGGTTAGGGATATCCACTGAGACCCTGTCTCAACACAAAATAAAATAAACCCCAAAGTTTTCATAGTTGTCTTGCATCTTTATTTTTCATAATGCATAGGTTTGCTCCTTACTGTATCATAGTATTTTATACATTTTGAAAACTTCTTACTTTCCTCCATAAATACTTGATGTTTTGGTTTTTATTGTAAGTGGAATATCCCCTATTAAGCTCTCTATTCCTCCTTGTTTATGCGCATGAAATCTAGTGACTTTTCAATGCAAATTTTGTAGCTTGACATCTTATTTATTTACATTTTTTCTTTGGTGAGGTTCTCAGTATATAGCAAAGGTTAGTTTCAAATCCACTACTCTGCTGCACCCACTTCCCCAGTGCTGGGATTATGAGCTTGTACCACCAGGTCTGGTTTCATTTTAATTTTGACTTAGTTTTTAATCATTGATTCTCTGATGTCTTCCATAGATACTATCATATCATCTGTGAATAGAGAAAGATTTGCTGATTCCTTTCCTATTCTTAGGCCTAGAATTGCTTTCTGAGGTCTAACTGATATAGCAAATAGGCCTAGAACAATGGTGAACAGTAGCCTTGCTATGCATGAATGATATTTTCCTGTAGTTTTTGTACTTTGTACTGTCTTACTTTTGTAGGATACCAGTGTTTTATGTATCTCATAAAAAGATTAGAGTATTAGCATTTCCTTTTAATATTATGAAATACTTGTAGATCAGAGGCATTATCTAGTCTGGAGATTTGATAGAATTCTCTGGGGAAGTTACCTGAGCCTGATGTGTGTTTGTGAGATAGTTTCTCAGTAATTTTACCTGTTTCTTCCATAGATTTGTTTTTATTTTGGCCTTTTTTGAGACAGAGTCTTGCTAGAGCCCCAGGTAGCCTGGAACTCCTTATGTAGACCAGACTGGCCTTGAACTCACAGAGATCTGATTGCCTCTGCTTCCCATGTGCTGGGATTAAAGGCCTGTGCCACCACCCTGCTTAGATTGTCTTTTTGAGACAGGGTCTCCTTGTAGCCCCAGCTTTCCTGAAACTCACTATGTAGACCAGGCTGGCCTTGAACTCATAGAGATCTGCCTGCCTCTGCCTCCCAAGTGCTGGGATTAAAGGTGTGCACCCCCATGCCCGGCCAAGATTGTTTTTTTTTAAAGCTTACAAATTTTAATGGGAATAAATTTAGTATTTGTTCTGAGGAAATTATAATTTCCAGTTTTCAATTTTATTTCCACAGAAGTTTCTAGAGTAGGATTTTCAAACTTTAAGATAAAGTTCTGTATCCGCGGTTATTTTTCTTGATTTTTTTTTCACTTGTGCCATTAAGCATGTTTAGTACAATGCCTCTGAACACTTCTTTAATTGAATCGTATAGGATATGATACGTAGACAGCTATTTTCAATGTGTTCTATAGATTATGGTATTCAGCACTACCATTGCAACTCTAAATAAATTTCGTAGTTTCAGTTTTCATTTCCTCTTTCATGTAAGTGACTGACTAGAAAATTAAGAGTTCCGGATAAAATATTTTTGATTTATTTATTTTTATTTTATGTATATGAGTGTTTGTCCTGCATGTATCTAAGTGCCCTCATGTCATGAAATGCCCATAAGGCCAGAAGATGGAATTGTATCCTCTGGACCTGGAATACTGATGGTTGTTAGCTGCCATGTGGGTACTGGGAACTGACCCAGGTCCTCTACAAGAGCAGCCAAGTTCTCTTAACTGATGAGCCATCTCCCCAGCCCCTAAAATTCCAGATTAAAATATTACATTTCAAAAAATAACATTTTCATACCCAGGGTATATTTAGTGCTTCTTGTGGCTATATTAATACATTCTTCATTAATATCTTTTAATATTTTATTTATTTTTATTTTATGTGTATGAGTATAATGCCTGCATGTATGTAAGTGTGTCTGTGTCATGCAGTGCCCAAGGATGTCAGAAGAGGGTGTCAGACCCCCTGGAACTGGAGTTACAGATGGTTGTTTAGCTGTCATGTGGGTGCTGGGAACTGAACTAGGTCTTCTGCAAGAGCAGCCAATGCTCTTAACCACTGAGTCATCTTTCCAGTCTCCATATCTGTGTTTTCTTACTTTTTTCAAGTTCTCAGAATCTCGTGGGTCACTGAAAAGTCATGAATTGGCAAACATGTGATAGCGGAACAGGATGTAGTCTCCAGCTGGACTATGTTGTTATCTCACCTACACAGTTTTCAGAATTATTACTTTCAAGTGTTACTGTTCTTTTTTTTTTTTTCTTAACATAAAAGAGGTGATTTTGTGCAAAATATGCTGAAAAGCACCCAGTATTTTCAGGAGGTTGACCGTTACAGTCTGTTATTGCTTCTAATCATGTGACTGTCCCATAAAAGTTTATATGCTGGGGAGATGGCTTAGAGGTTAAGAGCACTGGCTGCTCTTGCAGGGGACCCAGGTTCACTTTCTTGCACCCACTTAGCAGCTAACAGCTGTCTGTAACTGTAGTTACAAGGGTCCCATCTCCCTCTTCTGGCCTCCATGGGTGTTGCACACGTGGCACACTTACATACACGCAGGCAAAATACTCATACACATAAAATAATAGTAAGTACAAATTTGAAAATTTAAAAAAAGGCAGAGTGAGATTTTACAAATAGAAACATTTCCTGTGAGGAAGCCAGGGCCTTGATTCACACTGGAGTACCGGGTGATGAATGTGCCATGAGCAGAGTCCAGCAGGTGAGGGCCTTACTAATCTCACTCCTACTCCTCCTGCTGACTCGATCACTTTTAGGGCCAGGACTTATCAGCAAGACTCCCATATTTTGAACATATCCTTTAAGTGGCATTCATGTATTTTGCAGTTTTGAGAGCATCTTATATACATGTCCTTCCATTACCTTTCTAAATTGTTATATAGGTATTTTCTGGTTTCATCAAAAATTCTTACAAGTTTTATTTTTATGGTGACATGACATTTTCCTAATGTTAAACATTGCAATTGTTTGGAAGTTTGCTTTTACAGATACTTTTGTGATGAACAAAAGTATCTTGGGACAGATGTTGGATTATTTGTTTAGGCTAGATCTCTAGAACTTGAATAAAAAGTATCAACCTACTGGATGGGAATTAAATGTGTCACCAGATGCATTTTCTGAAATCTAAGCCTTTGCTTACTTATACTGTCATTAGCAGAGTATGAGAGAAGTGACACATCCTATGATTTCCAGTGCTGTCTGTTATTAAAACTTTAGAGTATTAAAGAAAAAAAAGACTTCAATATCTTGAAAGTAACAACGCTATTGTATCACTAAAGAATATGAACATTTTTCCATCTTAACATCATTTACATTTTATTAGGGAGTTATAGGCTTAAAGGGTTAGCCATTTTCTTATTGATTTACAGGAATTCTTTACATGTTTATAATTTTAGCAGTTTCACTGAAAGTTTTGTTGAAATAATTTTTCCACGTGAAACTTTTGTTTATAATATTTTAATAGTAGGTGTATCTTTTAGTTTCTTCATGTACAGACATTGTAAATAAGCATACATGACATAAATATCATGACATGCTACAATTTTCTTCTGTGACAGGCATGTGAGATGATTACTCTGCTTAAAGAACTCTGGCCAGAAGGATCTGACATCCGGCGCGTCCTTTGTGTGACTTCATGCTCCCTGTCTTTGGACATGTACCACTACTTTTTAGAAAGCAGAAAGAGGAATGCGTCTGAGCAGACCTGGGACACCCAGAAGGTTGTTATGAAATGCCAGTGCTTCCCACCTTTGATGTTTTATTATTTTTCATCCACCATTTTCCCCACTTGATACTCGTATTTTTACCTTGTTTCTTTGAAATTCAAAAATAGGAAAAGCCCCCCCAAATTTATATTTATAAAGAAAATTCTTCAATGGACTCCTGGTGTGAGTCCAATAAAGACTTTATGCTTCAAAAAAGAAAAAGAAAAGAAAGAAAGAAAAAGAAACTTCTGGTGTGTTATTTCATGATTTGGTGTGTTCCATTTAGGGTAGATTTAGTCTCAGTCTTCTGCAGAGAGGGAAATGAGAGGACGTTAACACTTGGTGGTTGCCTGCTGTGCTGCTGGGCTTTGGACACTCACTGTGCACCTTGCCATCAAATCCTCGCCACTGCATGCAAGACAGGCATTATTATTTCTATTCCACATATGGGAGTACCAATTTCAGCTTTCCAGGTTAACATTCCTCAATCCAAAGGTACTAAGTGGTATTGTGAACTGAATTCAAGTTTGTCTTTGGCAAATTTCTCACTGACTTGGAAGGGATTCTTGTGCTACGGCATCCTGCTGCCGTATCAGCTGGGGCAAGGCGACAGTTCTTAGGCTTCTCTATTGCAAATAAAGCCAAGAATCTGGTGGCCAGTCAGGGTTTTCTCTCCAACTAAACATTCATCTCTGAATAGATGTGCTTAGGAGCACATACATACACACACATACACACATACACACACATATGCACTTACTATTTATGCGTAATGTGAGTACTGGGGAGTCTTAGCTAAAAACCCTATTATATTCCACAGTTTCAGAAAGGAACAGGGCCCACTTTTATATTTTTTGCTTTCTAGTATCTTTTTAAAAAAGTAATTAATTTATTTTTATTTTACACGTATGAGTGTTATGCATGCATGTATATAAGTACACCCATGTTGTGCAGGGCCTATGGAGGACAGAATAGAGCACTGGATATCCTAGAACTGGTTTTTACCTGCCATGTGGGCACTGGGATTCAAACCCGGGTCTTCTGCAAGAAAAGTCAGTGCTCTTAACCCCTGAACCATCTCTCCAGCCCCTCCAGTATCTTCTTAAGTTTATATTTTATCTTATATTTGAGACACAGTCTTACTATGTAGTACAAACTTGTTGCCTGAAACTCACTATGTAGACCAGGTTGGCCTTGAACCTGGAGATCTGACTGTCTCTGCCTCTGGAGTTCTGGGATTAAAGTCACATTCACCACACCTGACCTTAAGTGTGTGTGTGTGTGTGTGTGTGTGTGTAATTTTTTGACTTAGTTATTTTTATTTTACCTGTATGAGTATTTTGCATGCATGTTTGTAAGTACACCTGTGAAAACAAGGTCCTTGGAGATCAGAAGAGGGCATGTGATCCCCTGGAACTGGAGTTAGGATGGTTGTTAGCTAACATGTGGATGCTGGGAGCTGAGTCCAGGTCCTCTGCAAGAGCAGCCAGTGTTCTTAATTGCTGAACCATCTCTCCTTAAGTATATACATATATTTTCAAATATTTTATTTATTTTAAAAATTATTTTATATGTATGAGTGTATTGCTTGCCAGGAGAGGGCATCAAGTCTCCTGGAACCGGAGTTACAAATGGTTGTTAGCCGCCATGTGTGTGCTGGGAACTGAACCTGGGTCCTTTGCAAGAATAGCCAGTGGTCTTAACTGTTGAGCCATATCTCCAGTCCTTAAGTATATATTTTTTAATGAAACCTTTCTACATGATTGAGCCATGGTGTTTTAATTCCTAAATCATGATAGTAAGTCAAATCTTTCTCTCTGGAACTTGTAGCCATTAGACCCTGTTTGACCCTCTGGAGGTGCCCTGATGAATTTTTCTTCTGCTCCCCCAACAAGCCAGACATGAAGATAGCAATGATGTCCTTGCCCCATAGTGCTAAACATCTTCACTTATTTACCTGTGTTTTCATTGGGCACATCTTTTAGATCCATTGCTGCCTTGCTGTCCTCATCCTGGCAATTTGCAGTCTCACTTTTGCAGTATGATACTTAGACAGAAGAGATCATTTAGCATGTAGCTTCACCCACCCAGATTCCTGCAGGACCCTTGCCTCACCACTCCTGGATTAGCTCATGTCAAACACAGCTTCCCTCAAAATTCTGACATTGCCATAGAAAGCTGGGAGCTTCCTTTCCATTTTATCTCAAACCTATATAAATGAAGCCTAGTTTTGGGGTGAAGAAAAGTCTTATTTCAAAAATATAGAGTGAAGAATGTTCAAGTGTGGAGTTCCCACACAGCAGAGCTTGGCAAGAGGGGCTGTGATTCTGCATGTTGACTATACTGTCTCCTAGCCTGCTGTTCTCTGGCTTAGCGTCTTTGTTTTCTTCAGGGAAAAGGCCCTGGCCTAACCCTGCAGGACATGGAAGACTTTTGTAAGCTGCATTGCCTTAGTGTGGCATTTCTACTCCACTTACCTCTTTCTCAGAGAGCTCACTCTAGATTCATCACTTCTGACTGGAGTAAGGACATGATGACTGTCTTTAAAATGGTAAGTATAGTTTTATTCATTTATTAATTTTCATTCATTTATTATTCGTTTTATTAATTAATTATTTATTAATTTATTAATTGGCACATAAAAGCCCTAATAACCTTCAAAACAGAATTATAAGGTGACAGTGTTAGATTATGGAGTCTTCAAAGATGTGCTTCCCTAAGTAAATCACTTGCCTAATTTCAACAGCTATATTGGATAGTAACAAATGGTATGAATCTAAGGAAAAGCCTCTACAATTTTCCCTCCTTTAAACTTCTGTCAGGATCAGAGTTTAGTGTCATTAAAACCTAGAAAGTTGGGGCTGGAGAAATGGCTAAGCAGTTAAGAGCACTGACTGCTCTTGCAGAGGACCCAGGTTTCATTCCCAGGACCCATGTGGCAGCAAGCAACTGAATCTGATGCCCTCTTCTGACCTTCATGGGCATTTCATGATATGGTGCACTTACACACATGCAGGCAAAACATTCGTGCACATAAAATAAAAATAATAAGTAGAAATTTAAATGTAAAAATCTGGGAAGTTGTTAGTGACCACTATATCCATTTAAGAGGAACTGAAAAAAAGCAGTATAACATTGTAATATCTTTCACATTATAGACTATAGATAGAGAAAATTTGGAGATATTAGGAAAACAGAAAGCAAAAATAAAATGGGAACTTCCCTAGAGGTCCTCCACTCAAATCAGAGCTGGTATCTGTTAATATTTGCTCTCTTTAGTCTCAATGCTTAGATTTTTCTGTTGTTTCTTACATGGGAAGAATCCACATATGTGTTTCTCCTCTTCTACATTTCTATTTTATTTCCCAACCTTAGTTCCTGTCATGTTTAATGATGACTATTAAGTTGTATTTTAATATATTTCCCTGGTTCACTTGCTTTTCTATTATGGGTTGTTAAAAATATTGATAGATATAAGTACTGCCATCTTCTATTTGTATTAGACTTTCCCTTTAATTTGGGATCATTGACTAATCCCAGAGATGGGATTCATAGATTATATGACTTGGATACTTATCTTTAGGATCCTGAGATGCATAGTCAAAGAAATCATTTTGTATCCAATAAATTAGGAATCTAGTTTGTGAACATTTGCCTAGTGAATATGCATTCCTCCAACCTAGGAAAAAATAAGAAAAACTCTCTTGCCATTCTACCCTGACTCTTTCCAAGAGTTACATTTTGCAGAGAGGACAGATACTGAATTTTAACAATCTCTGTGAAGGAGGAACTAGAATGCTTCAGAATCTGCTAATGAAAAGATCCAACCCAGTTAGCAAGGAATGGTTTCTCTTAAACTGTTAAGTCCTGAAGGACGATTAGGAGTTAGTGTAGTAGAGAGAATGGAAACCAGATTCTGGGAAAGAGATAGCATATGTGTTTTCCTTGAAGTCATGAAAGAACCAAAGGCCATTTAATGTTAACAGTGACACAGAGAATGTAGGGTTAGTCATGAAGCTGATGGGGGGTGACAAATAATTCCTATGACATTCTGTGGGTCAGGACAGATAAATTGATGCTGAGTGCATTGAGAACCTACTAAACACATTCAAACAGACAGGTCGGCTTGCAATGCAAACCATGCATTTAGAGTTGGAGAGGAAAAACAGTGGGGATAATTTGGCGACTATTATCTTCAGCTATCTAAGTATTGATGGTGTTAGAGATGATGGCAGTGGCTATTGATCACACTCCACTTAAGGCTCTGTGTATGCTTCTTATGTAGCATTCTGAAGAGTGACATAGGATAACTGGAGTTAGTTAGACTACATGGTGGGTACCACTTTCTTACTCAAATGAGGATAACACTTCCATCAATGCCCCTCTTGATATACTGCATGGGAGGTATAGAGGAAACACATGAAGATGATTGATCTGAGTGTGACTAAGAAGTAGCTAAGCTACATTCATTTTACTTGATAATGCCTGCATTATATTTACTACATTAGCATAATTGGAACCTAGGGTTGGCAAATGAAAGTGAGGAATAGGAGCAGGAGAGATGGCTCTATTGGTAAAGCACTTTCCTTGAAAGCCTGAGGACCTATGTTTGATTCCCTGTACCAAACACAAAGCCAAGTGATAGTGCTGGCTTGTAATTCCAGGGTAGTGAGACGGGAAGATCCCTGGAAAGCTAGCTAGTCAGCTAGCCTAGGTGGCCAAATTCTAGGCCAATGAAAAACTGTCTCAAATAGGAGGTGGACTGTGTCAGAAGAATGACACCCAAGGTTATCCTCTGCCCTCCAGACACACACACACACACACACACACACACACACACACAGAGAGAGAGAGAGAGAGAGGGAAAGAGAGAGAGAGAGAGAGAGAGAGAGAAAGGCCATTTCCTGAATATCTGCATTTGTGAACACTCAGAACTCTTGCAGTGGGAGATTTAGAGCTTTGTAACATAGTAAATATTAGATGTGGTGAAGACAGTGCTATGTTCATTTTGTTGATTCTTGAGGGAGAAAATGCAGTATTGTATCCTAAATCCCACAGGAGGACATTCCTCTACAGATACTGGGGAGGTAGAATACTATGTTTTAATAATTAAAGATAAAAAGACTCTGTCCTGGTTTGTTTCTTCATTGCTGTGGCAAAACACTCTGACCACTACCAACTTGGGGAGGAAAGGGTTTATTCAGCTTACATCTCCTAGGTTGCACTTCATCAGGGAGCCCAAGGTAGGAACTCAGGGCAGGAACCTGGAAGCAGGAGCTGGAGCACAGGCCATAGAGGAATGCTGCATACTGGCTTGTTCCCCTGGTCCCCTGCTCAGCCTGCTTTCTTATGCAACACAGGCCCACCTGCCCAGGGGTTGCACCACCCACAGTGGGCTGGGCCCTCCCACATCACTTATCACGAAGATGCTACTCAGACATGGCCATAGGCCAGTCCAAGAGAGGAAATTCCTCAATGGAGGCTCCCTCAACCCAGGTGTGTCAAGTTGACACTAAAGCTGTCTGGCACAGACTCTGTTAGATTTATGAGTGCAGAGAAGTAAGGCGTTTAAAGTTAAGAAATAAGAACCAGAGCCAAACTGCAACAGGCAAGGAATGTGTTCTCTTAATTCAGAGGGCACATCAAAGGGCTGAGGCCTTGCCACGTGAAGAAGGCACCTGCATAGAAGGGGAGGGCAGTTTCCACTTTTATAGGAACTCTGTTGCATACAGCTGATAGAATTAACTGTGCCAGGGTCTGGTGTCCTTGATTGAGGGTCTTTCTCCCGAGATTATTTTCTCAGGCAGGTAAGCTATCTTTGGGCACTAAAGGAGACAGGTTGGCTCCATAAATAGCCTCCCTCAGTCCAGGGAGTTACCAGTTGATAAGGCTTGAGCAAGGCCAGGCTGCCAATTTAGGGTCAGTTAGACACTTTAAGGGATTTGTGGTTATATTGTTTTCCTAGTTAGGCTCATGGCTCTTCATACATTCTATCAGACTCCATTTCGGGTTCCAAATTTCTTTTGTTTTTCTTTTTATTATTTTTATTTTATGTGTATGAGTGTAATGCCTGCATGTAAGTGCACCTGTGTCATGCAATGCCCACAGAGGTCGGAGGAGGTTGTTGGATCCCCTGAAGTTATAGACAGTTGTTAGCTGCCATGTGGGTGCTTGGGATCGAACTTGGGTCCTCTGCAAAAGCAGCTAGTGTTCTTAACCACTGAGCTAATCTCTCCAAACAATTTGGGCTCCAAATTGTTTATAGACATTATAACATAGGCCATTTCAGGTTAATATATTAAATCTATTTATATTATATGTCTGCTATTAAAATGTTGTGGCACCAGTATTGTGCTGTGACTTTTGTTATAAATTTATTTCTCAGCTATATTCGGCTTTCTTTGGTTTCCTTTATATAATTTGAATTCTGTGACTAAAATGTAGACTGTTATAAATGCACTAATGGTGATAGGGACCTAAAGACTTAAGTGAATGCCTTCTATGTACAAGTTTCATTTGTGAAGAATTATTGACATTTTAATATATATTTTTATTTTGTTGGTTTTTTTTTTAATGTGTGTGAGTATATTGCCTGCATGTATGTAAGTGCGCCTGTGTAATGCAATGCTGGCAGAGGTCAGAAGAGGGTGTCGGATTCCCCTGGAACTGGAGTTATGGATGGTTGTTAGCTGCCATGTTACATATACACACATGCATACTGTTGTAGTGTACAACTTAAAGGTTTAGATGATCAAAACCAGCATTTGCCTCCTCCCCTCACATTGAAAAGCATTGTATTCTATTATGAAGGTCATGTGGAGCCTCAGTCAGGAGACCCTAAGCTTAAATACTATAGACAGTATCACTGAAGTAGACTCATGTCTACTGTGCCTGGAAGTAAGGGTGGTTGGTGAAGACATTCTGCCTATGTTAGGTGGGAATATCGCTTTATAATAGTAAGTCTGATGGGGACCACTAGTGTGGGTAGATGGGAATGTTTGAGTTTGAAAGATTTAGTTCCTTCTAGATCTCTTAACAATGCAACTCTTTTTTTGTTTGTTTCCTTTTTGAGACAAGCTCTCCTTATAGCCCCAACTGGTCTGGAACTCACTATGTAGGCTAGGCTGGTCTCTATCTTACAGAAATCCATCTGCCTGAGTGCTGGGATTAAAGCTGTGAACTATCACACCCAGCAAGAACCCAACTCTTAAAAAACAAAAAGCAAAATTGGTAAACAAGGAAACCTAAATAAAGAACAGAGGCATATTTGAAATCTGAGTTAGTATGTGGTTTTCGAGATTTTGGATAACAGCAGGTAGAAATAGGCATTAAAAGTTAAATACAGGGGGCTAGAGAAATGGCTCAGCGATTAAGAGCACTGGCTGCTCTTGCAGAAGACTTGAATTTGGTTTCCAGCACATACATGACTGTCGGGAGCTGTGACTTTATTGTCCAGCTTAGGCGTTGAAGCCTTTGCTTTGAAGAATAAGAAGACTGCCACTTTAAGAGCTTCTCTGCTCTATGCATCAATGATTTGAGTTGACGGGCTATGCCTCCTTGATTAATTGGGTATGTTGGAAACATAACTCAAGAGTTTTGTTTCAGTTTGTGGGCACCTGAGTTTCTCACCACTGTTTACTTGGTTTCTATATAAAAGTCATAAATTCTAGTAGTTGTTAAGAGTGATCATGGGCAATACAACATTGTATCCTAGAGATTGTAAATATCATGTATCTGTAACTATCATGTGAGTATCGGGTGATGGTAAAATAATACAGTGACATACTGCATCCTTAGTTACTTTCTGTTAGTAATGTATCCACAGTGATTCCTTGGTTACTTCTTAGATACTTGTGATCTGATTCCTATATAAGCTCCGTGTAACTCATAACATGAGATTCATTTTATAATTATGCTTGTGCTTGCCTGATTGTCAGAGGTAATCAATAAAGAAGCTCAATGCATTAGCATCAAGACCCTTGTCTTGATTTCTATCTTGTTGGGGTCCCAAGCCTGGTGGGCCTGGGGGCGTCTGACAAATGACAACTAACAACTGCCTATAGCTCCAGTTCCAGGGGAATTTAATGCCTTTTTCTGACCTATGCAGGCATTGCATGACACAGGTGCATTTGCACTCATACAAATGAAATGATAAATGAAATATTTTTTTTAAAAAGTTGAATACAGATTTTCTTGACTCAGTAATAAAAAAATTTTTGAGACAAGTCAAATTTTGTTTTTTGAGACAGGGTCTCCCTCTGTAGCCCAGGATGGTCTAGAATTGACTACATGGCTTAGGTTGGCCTCAAACTTCTGCAATCCTCCCACCTTAGCTTCATAAGTGCTATGATTACAGGTGTGTTGTTGTCATACGCAGTTTAAATTCATTTTTGAGCAAATTTTCATTTTATTTAGTACTTTAACTTTTGAGGAACAAAGCATTAATCCTTACTCAGTCTGAATGGGTTTATACGATAATAAGAATTGGAATAGTTCTGCCATTTGCTTTCCAGTTGGATTATTGATGTCTATTACATTATTCTATACATAACTTTCTTCTGCTTTTGATTTTCAGAAAAAGTGGTGTGAGTATTTCATCCTAAGTAATGTACACATGTTTGAATTTTGGAGTCTGAATTTACTTCACCTTTCTGATTTAAGTGATGAGCCTTTGTTGAAGAATATTGCTTATTACTATGAAAGTGAGAATGAACAAGGTATCAATTTACTATATAATAAAATACACTTTCTCTCCAATGTAAAGCTTATAAAGGATTTGGAACTTCAAAGCAATTTTCTTATACTTCTATCATATAAATAGGAGCCATTTTTCTGTTTCCCAGTTTTTATTCATTTATAATTTTCATTTAGTGGAAATCAGAATGAATACTGGAATCCAAAATATTTTTCAACTTAAAGTTTCTCCAAGTAATTTTGCTAAAGGTAGATATTTATGTGTTTGGCATTTTCTAACTGATGAAATTTTCATTTGTATGTATGTATAATATTTGTTTTAAAAATTGCCCTAAAAGAAATAATCAACTATTAGATAAGAATTAAAAAGCTTTCCAAAAGATAGTCTGTATTTTCTTTGTGTAATTTTTTTGTCACAATAGATTTTCTTGTGTTTTTAGTAGTCAAAAAAAAATAAAGCACATTTTGAAAGAAGTACATTTGAATAAGCATTATTGAAACTTCTTCGACATGAAGGCTTTGCTTCCCTTATATAGTAAACATTGAAATAAATTAGCTACCTATAAATTAATGATCCTTTATGAAAATTTTCATTGCTCAGAGATCAGTTTTTATTTTGTTTTATTGGCTATAAAGCTATATTTGGTATAATATTTTTATTATCTCAAAAATAATTAAATCATCTATTATTATTGGTTGAGGGTAAATTTTAATACTTAGTTATCAGAAAGAAAGGCAAGAGTAATTTTAAAATCTGTAATGGCATAGCCAGCATTAGTCATCATTTTCATTTGTATTCAATGGGAAGTCCACTGAAAATTCCACTATTTGACTCATATTTCAAAGCTTGGTGAATTTAATCAAGATGCATATTTCTAGTATACATGAGTGTCTTTTAACGCTGAGTATTTTTTTTACTGTTGCCCAGGGCTACATTTAAATTTAGGTGATGCCATCACGAAGGATTATGAACACCTCTGGAATTCTGTATCCAAGTTGGTCACAAAGTTTGATGTGGGAAAACCATTTCCTGTGAGAAAAACAAAACTTCATTTTCTTATTAAGAATCCATCACCAATCAAAGGTAATTCATTCCTAAGCTAATTTGAGGTAAAGATAAAACTTTTTTTTATAACAAAACTCCAAGTATAACTCATTTTATGGCTGTATACATCGCAGCAATTGTCATTTCCTTGGGGTAGTATGCTACAACTAGACTTGTGAAGATTTGCTTATAATTAATTTTGCCAATAAAAGAATCTCTCTCTCTCTCTATATGGCTTTCCATATATAAGAATCCATATATATATATATATAATATATGAATTTCCAGCAATATGGAAAGGTGGATAAGAGGCACTCCACTCAGAATCTTTTTCCACAATGATAATTGTGCTGAAAACAATAGAATGGGGGACAGCAGGTGACATGACCCTGCAGTCTCTCACTGGGGAAGCTGAGAATCATCTAAGCCAGCCTAGAGATCAGCCCAGGCCACATATTGAGTGCTTATATCATAGAGTAACAAAAACAAGCTTTGGAAGGGGAATCTTAGAGGCCACAGAATAAAAGGGAATTAGAAAGTCAGTGCCCAAACTGTTACATTTGCCTTTCCTGTGATAGAGATGTTTGTACTGTATTTTCTGGGGTGTGGGCAGAAGACAATGCCAAGAGCCAGGGGGTGCTAAATGTGACAAATCTACACAAAGCCAAGGTCCTTTGGAGCAAACCTCAGAGGTCAGCTTTCACCGAATCTGCCTTTTAGCCAAAAGAAACAACAAACCAATCACATTGGGTCTCGAGTGTACTAAATGACTTTTGAGAATTTGGAGTTTAAACTATTAACAGGGTCAAGGCAGCTCTGAACCAGGACATTGAGGTGATCAAAGGGATTAGGCAAATTGTTGTGAAGAACAAGTAAGTCATAAACCCTGGTTTTATAGGATTCTTTGTCAAATATGAATACAAATGAAACTTATAAAACAGCTGAGGAAATAATTAACTAATAAGCCAGAAACAGAACTCATAATTCTTTATGATTTTGTGATTGTCATATCATGACGTACATTCTATATATGTGTTAAAAAACATTTGGGGAATTAAATAAAAGACTGTCAAATAATATGCAATCTTGAAATAACCAAATGGAGAAGTAAAACTGCTGTTACCAACTGATTAAAAAAGCTCATTGTATATTACTAATGAGAGAATTTATGCATCAGAAATAAATAGAAAGAATTAATTACACTTAGGACTGGAGATGTAGCTCACTGGTAGAATATACTAGCAAATATGAGGTCATAGGCTTAGTGTCTAGCTCTGGAAAACAAAGTAAATGAAAGAATGTCATTATGACAAATGAATAAACTGGTTCTAGGAAGAAAATACTATGTGATGTCACATCTGCAATCTAAAAAATACATAGAAACAGAACACAGTAAGTATTTAGGGAGCAGTATTGGGTGATGAGAAATGTTGGGCAAATGGTACAGATTTAGTTATGCAGGATGATAAATCTAGATGACTGACATACTCCATGGGGATTATCACTTATCATACTGGTTATTCCACTGTACCCTAGCAATTTGGGAAAAGAAGAGATTTTAGGTACTCTTACTACCCAAACCCAAACCCAAAAACAGACAAGGAGAAAAGATAGTAATGTGAGATGGTGGGTTTCAAGACTGTGCTATCAATCTGTGATGTATAGATTTCATCCTGAAGCTCCTGCCTCTACCTCCCAAGTGCTGAGATTACATGCATGCACCATCATGTCTGACTAACTCCATGTACATCAAAATAAGTGTATTAAAACTTGGTGTATACCTTAATTATATATAATAAAATTCAACACAAAATATTAAAGGACATGGAGGGTAGAATGAAGGTCAATGTTTGATTTGGAAATTCAAAAGGAAAGAATGAACTAATGCAAGTAGGGTTATTTTTGAAGAAATAATGACCAAACATTTGGATGGATTGGTGAAGACAAGAATTTGCACATTCAGGATCATAAATGGGGTAAATTAAATCCATGGCTCTATGTACCCAGACAAGTACATCTCACACAGTGAAACTGTAGATATGAAAAATGAAGACTATCTCAATAGAATCAAAATTAACTATAAAGAAAGTAAAATCAGTCTAATAACAGATTTCTCAACGGTGACGATATTTAGAATTGCATGAATTTCCTAAATTACTAAGGATGGGGAGTTGTATGTACATAGTAAAAACAAAATTTGATTTGGCCATCATCTTAGCATCCCTGATGTTTCTATATAATGAATTAAAAAAAAGATTTAGAGGAAAGCCTAATGAGCCCTTAGGCCATGTACACACAGGTACACAGCACATACACGCTAAGAAACATGTACACACCATGCACATGCATGCACATATACCACACATACACATGCACCACATATATGCATACACACACCACAGACATGCACACACCACACACAATTTGACACATGCACACACACCACATACATGCACATGCACCACATACATGAATACACACACCAAACACATGCACACACACCACACATCACATACTCACACATGCACTCTCATACACCACACATACCACACATGCACATAAATGCACATACACGCACACTAGGACACATGCAGACACATGTAGATATATGCATACATGTGTACTCACACTCACACCACATATAAGCACACAGCACACACATATACTCCACATACATCATACACTCACACCACACATACAGTCACATACACCCCATACACACACCCCATACACACCACACACATACCACACACTCATATACACACACACCACATACACCACACACCCCAAACACACACCACGTACCATACACACACCAAACAACCCACCCCCCACCAAATACACATTCTTGTCTTCTGTTAGGATGAGCTTCACCAGACAATCTGTGAGTGCAAGTTTTATTGGTGCTAAGAAGATTCCATCAGGGAATGGCTAGATTAGAACAGGAAGCGAACAGCACAGGTAGACCCATCAATGAGCAGGTTTTTCCTGTGGGCAACACCAGGCTAATTGCTGTTGGAATCTTGAGATGGTGTACACACTAACTTGGAAGTATCTTCGGTGAGAAGCAAGAGAGCTGAGGTATTTATTGTCCAACTCCTATCATGTCTTGGATAGGGGCTATTTTCACTAACTCTGGCTTGCTCTCCAAGGGCTATATGCAGGAACATGCTTAAACTAATTACAACAGAGGGTATTAGTGAAAACACAGGAACAGAGAGCATCAAGGTAATTAGAAGTCAAGCTCTGGTTGTTTATCTAGAATTATGAATCAGATGTTAAATAAAAATTCATTAGTCCATCATCTTAGTTTTCAGATATATCTGATTTATCATCTGTCAGTCAATCAATCTATCTATCTATCTATCTATCTATCTATCTATCTCTCTCTATCTCTCTATCTCTCTATCTATCTATCTATCTATCATCTATCTGTCATCATTTTTCCATCCATCTATCATCTTTCATCTTTATCTATGCATCTATGTATCTAGCATATATCTATCATCTATTCATCCATACATCTTCATCTATATATCTATGTATCTATCAATTATCTATCATCTATTCATACATACATCTTCATCTATATATCTATGTATCTATCAATTATCTATCATCTATTCATCCATACATCTCCATCTATATATCTATGTATCTATCAATTATCTATCATCTATTCATCTATTGGATATCTCTCTATAATCTATCTATCTATCTATCTATCTATCTATCTATCTATCTATCAATCATCTATCTATGTATATATCTTTGTATCTATCTACCATCTCTCTATCATCTATATCAACAGTCATCCATTTATGTATCATGTAGGCATCTGACATCGATCTAACTTTCTATTTTCTATCTATCCATCATCTATCTATCTATCTATCTATCTATCTATCTATCTATCTATCTATCTATCATCTATCATCTATCATCTATCTATCAACTTCAATCTATCAACCTATCTATCTTTGTGTGCTCTGGTTTATAAAGTAAAGGGAAACTTAAAAGAACTATTGTAATAGTATTAATCTCTGCACCTCTTAGGTTTTTCTCTATTTTTTTGGTCTTTTTGAGAGAGGGGCTTCCTGTAGCCCCAGCTGGCCTGGAACTCATGATGTATGCCAGGCTGGCCTCGAACTCACAGAGATCCACTTGCCTCTGCCTCCTGAGTGCTGGAATTAAAGCCGTGCACCACCATACCCGACTGTTTTTCTCTATTTTTAATTTCATTTTTTTGTGAAAATGTGTGTGAATTCCTAGATTTTTATCATTAGATTATCTTTTAGTAGAGAATAATAAAAGGATTGAACATTTGAAAGTAAGCAGCACAGGTATCTATCATCTAACTATTGTTTATCTATCAGTATATCATCTATCTACAATCTATCATCTTCACCACCATCATGTATCTATCTAGTCACATATCCCTCCATCCATCCATCACCCACCCATTTAATTGATCTACCTATTTGCTTAGATATTGTCTATTTATTTATATTGTATTATATTCCAAAATGATTTAATATGAAAGATAGCTTTATGAGAAGGATTGGAATTGGAACATAATTATGATGAATATAAAATAGTTTAATGAAAAGTTTTGAATAATGATATGTAGTCTTCCTGGATGAAAGTTTCACATTTAACTTTATCATAAGTTTTTTGTTTACAGAAAGCTCCCAGGAAGAGATGCCAAGTTTGGGTTTTATTCCTGTGTCATCTCATTTGGTGGATGCATTTGCTGGAGACGTTTTGAAAGATTTACCATTCCTAAAGAGGTAGGGCCAAAGCAAAAATATGCTTCAATAAGTACTACTTGGGGATGAATAAGTTGCTAAAGATTCTTTAAGAGGGCATATGTAATATAAGTTTATAACATATTGCCTTTTGACCATCTGTATCATTCCAATTGGAGAACAAAGACCACTATGTTCTTTTAAAATTAACGAAATAATGAATGTTTGTTTACGTCAATGAGACTGTTAAGAAACTTGGGTTTATTTTTGGTTTCTGAAGTCTAATAAAATGATCTCTGAATTCTGCCACACATACTCTATCACAGGAAAAAGAGAGGGAACCATGATTTTAAAGTTATTATAAAATGAAATTGGTGCAATGTTATATTTGGAGGTATAATTTTAAGATAGGCATATATTTCTTTTTGTCCCACAGTGATGATCCTCAGGTTACTTCACTGGTTAAACAGAAGGACTTTGATGAACTTGTACACTGGCATTCACAAAGACCCCTTAGTGATGATTATGACAGGACAAAGTCCAGTTTCTTTGGTGAGTGCTGTGAATCTGCTGAAATAATTTAAATCTACTTCACTGTTTGCCCTTTATTTCATAGTGAAAAATCAAACTATGAACATATTTTTTAATAATAGCCTACAAGATAATCAGATGCATATCAGGAAGGATGATAGAATTCCCAGGTTGTTTCCTGATGGTCATTCATACAAAGGTTGTAGGTATCTTAGGCAGAACAGCACAAATATGGCATTTGTCCCATGAACTAGGCACTGTGTTAAGGAAAGACAGTTTGCAACTTAAAAATTCTGGGTATTCTTTGAAGTCTAATATATGGAGACCAAGCTCTCAGCTCCATGATGGTCCAGACCAAGTATTACTTTCCAGTTGAGTAATGCAATGTGTTAGGATATCTTAGATGGCTTTCTTCTTGATTGTTCATTAAATTTTTTTCCTTTCCATTACCACTATTATGCCCCATCAATCTCAAGTACGTCTTAATATTTTTTGATTCTTCAAGAATTTCATACAATATCTTTTGATCACATTCAGACACCTTACTCCATCTCTAGCTTACCTTATTACCTATTCCCACTTCATGTCCTTTATTAACATTTTTCTTTCTTAAAGAGGCTATCAAGTCTAATCTGTATTCCCCAAATGCCCTACGGTTTGGGTCTATCCCTTGGAGTCTGGTCAATTTACCAGACTTTGCAATCCTAAAGAAAACTGACTTTTCCTGTCCCATCAGGTATCGATTGGCAGTAGATCTTAGTTCAGGCTGGGACTTCTTGCCCACCTCCCACACCCATGCAGGGTGAGATTGTATGGGGTGTGCAGGGATCTCGGGGCGCCAGGTGCTAGCGTGGCGCCGGTCCCCTGCGCACACCTGGAGAGGCGGCAGGTCCCGCAGCGCGTCTGCTCCGCGTTGCTGGCTCTCTGCTTCTCGGCTGCTTCTCTGCGTCTCTGTGGGTCTCTGCTGCCAGGGCTTGCCCGGCCGGGTTCTGCCCTAATTTCACCTGTGCACTTCCTCAAGATGCGGGATCCGTGAGCTGCCGGGTCACCAGGGGAAGGTGCGGGGCGGCTAAAGCTGGGTTTCTGTGAGTTGATGACGGAAGGATACCGCCCCCCGGGGAGACTGGATCGTAGGCAGTGAGACACAGGACTCAGCTCTGATCTCAGTGGTACAGCATTTATTCAGTGACTCTGCTTGGCTCCAAGTCTCAGTGCTCCAGCTCCAGCTCCAGCTCCAATTATTGAGGGAAAACCAGGAAACTTTATACCGTGGGGGTAGTGGTAAAAGCTTTAGCTGATAGGTACTTTGTGGGATGCCCTATTTACATATGGAAGTGGGCTCCTGCCAGGCTGCCAGACTGCCTGAAAATCACATAGGAAAACCTGGCATTTCCAGAGCCGGAGGCCATGTTTCTGTGGCGGCTACTTCAAAAGACGAGTCAGGAAGATGCCAGGAAAGCACCCTGCTGAAAAAGGAGTCCCTGCATTTGAAGCTGAGCTCATGGGCTACCCGGACATGAAGGGACTTCTACTTTACACAACAGGGGTCCCCAACAAGATTGCGCATATATTTTATACATATATGTCCTAAGCACTGTGGGTTCATATGTGCAACTGTCCTGTGGCATCCACACAATATGGCTTCCTTATATTAATTTACTATTTCTGACATTTACAATCTTTCCACTTCCTTTTTCACAAAGGTTTTTAAGCTTTGGGAGAAGAGGGTGTGATATGTGATGTAGGCGTCCCATGTAGGGGTGAGCCCTCCCCAGTCTCTTATTCTCTGCATGTTGACCAGGTGTGGGTCTCTGTTAATTGCCACCTGCTGCCAGAAGAAGCTTCTCTGGTAAGAGTTGAGAGCTACATTAATTTATGGGTATAACAATAAGTCATCAGAAGTTGGTTTAATGGTATTTCTATTTAGCAAAAGAATAACAGTAGGTTCTCCCCTACAGCCTGTAACATGTCTTGACCCTGATAAGAGGGCCAGGTAGAGACTCCATCCTCTGAATCAGACTATAAATCCAATCAGAAAGTGATTGGTTACTTCCATAACACACGTCATTATTGCACCAGAGGGCATATTTTGCCAAGCCAGTTGTTATTGTAGCTCACAGAGTTCACAGCTGGGTAAGGTTGATGATTACCTTTCTCTTACAGTAGCAAGCACAGCACCTTCTAATAGTATGAAAGCTAGCCAATAGAGATGAAGCTTCAAGGCTAGTATCAACTTGATTGCTCCTTGTTTGTATTATGACTCAAGAATGTAGTGTCTTCAGCAATGGGGTCTTATCCATCAAGTTAGGGTGGGTAACCAAGGGCATTAATAATAGCCAATATTGTCTGAGGGTCTTTGGGACCTCCCTGTCCAACAAGTCCAAAAGGGTAAGCCATATACTGGCACTCAGTTTTTGATTTGCTAGACTGTGGTGTCTGGTAGGGCAATTGAACCCCTATTATAGGGTGACTCTAATCTCTTTTTTTTTATTTACATATATATTTTTTTAATTAGAGGAAGCATTTCATTACAACAGCATTAACCTATTCATAACATTTTTCTGAGCTAGGGTAGATCTCTTTCAAAATTGGCTATACATTTCTAGGTTTACAGATGAATTATTACACTTATATAATCTTTTACTCATTATAAACTCTATAAGACATAAAATTAAATGAGGTTCCAACGTTTAAAAAAGATCTCTACTTCGTTGTCAAAACACACAGTTTCATACAGAAAAATTCATTCCAAGCCTATTGACATTGAGACGTTTTCACATGCATTTCTAATCTCTATATACATGACTATCACTGGTCACAGTC